GAAAGAAAAGATAGTTGTTACTAATATAACAGGAAGATGAAAGAAAAGATAGTTGTTACTAATATAACAGGAAGATTTTATGATTAAGTATTAGAAACGTTCGCTGGCGCCAGCACTCCTGTACTTTCCTTTTTCTCCATTTACAGATCAACGACCGTGATTCTGCCTTTATACTATATCGATTGTTCTACGTCCCATCTCCTACCAGCCCTCCTCCCCACATATTCCTGGTGGCGATCAACTGCAGATTGTCATTTCATCACGGAGATCGCCTGCAGGATTCACTAAAACCTACTGGATTTCTGCACAGAATCAAATGCTATTCCTGTTGAGTTTAAGCGGCATTTTACACGGCACAGCCTGCTGACGAGAATATTTCTATAAATCAGAACATACTTCTGTTTTATCCAATCGGTGCTAAAAACTTGATAAATAAAACTGGCAATAATCTCACAATACACGAGAAATATTTCTAAATACAAAAACGTGTTCTTGTATACCGGAGTATTAAATACACAATCGTGTTCTTGTATACCGGAGTATTAAATACACAATCGTGTTCTTGTATACCGGAGTATTAAATACACAATCGTGTTCTTGTATAGCGGAGTATCAAATACACAAACGTGTTCTTGTATAGCGGAGTATCAAATACACAAACGTGTTCTTGTATAGCGGAGTATCAAATACACAAACGTGTTCTTGTATAGCGGAGTATTATATATAAACGTATTAACATTTCAAGAAAATTAACTGATATAACAAGTAACTTCTAACTATTATACGTACGTATAAAACACACACACACACACTCAATTTACTGAAAGAAGCGCGTACGCACACAGGATATGCGTTTGTGTAAACTCAGGGCAGGAAATATAACTAAAATGAGGGTTCCCATCTTCTCAGTGAGTCACACACATCTTTGTGATGAAAGGCCAGGATGGGTTTGTCATTAGTTTATATATCAACATTGCTATATAAAGCCTGAGCTGGTCTTTATCAACTTTCACACATATTGACGTTATGAGTCCTTTATACACTAGTTTTAGATTAAAAAAAAGGCCTAACTACTTAGTTGTTAGGGTTAACAGGGGAAGTTAAAATCGTTAGTTTTCACAAGTTAATGAATGGCGAAGAGAAACACTTCAACTACAGTTTGTATCACAAATTAAAATTTATTGGTGCGATGATTCAGGCCATTTGAAGAAAGTTTCACGTGGTACAAAATTTTGGGAATAACAACGTTAGCACGTGAACAGAACGGTTCGGTTTCTTTGGAATTTCACGCAAAGCTACATGGGGCTATCTGCGCTAATTTAGCAGTGAAAGACTAGAAGGAAGGCAGCTAGTCATCACCACCAACCGCCAACTCTTAGGCTACTCTTTCACCAACGAATAGCCGGGTTGACTAACATTATAACGCTCCCACGGCTGAAAGGGTGAGCATATTTGGTGGGATGGGGATTCGAACACGCGACCTTCAGATTGCTAGTCGAGTGCCCTAACGTGATAATCGAATACTTTATTAAATGGTATAATTCTATAATTTTCGGTGTCAAATTGAAACTACGGGTTATAGCTATTAAGTTTGTTCGAAATAAATATCAGAACGAACGACAGTAATTGTTCTAATAATATCATTTTAGAAACAATACAGTTAAAAATTGGGGTGAGTAGAACTGGAGAAGATTTAAATAAAAATCAGGTTTACTAGATAATAATTAACAGTTAAAAGCTGTTACAAATTGTCAGTCGAATGACCTCTTGGCGAGAAGACGTTTCAATCCGCTTACGCTTATCTTTACCCCGTTATCAGTTCACCAGGGAGATTGACTATTACAACAACAGTCACCACGTTTATCAGTCAAGGTTTAAAATTTGGTGTTAGCGTTTAGATTCTAATAACAGTGGTTACTCTGTTTTACGGTGCTTTTATCTCAGCTTTATAACATAACGTCATTTTTTGAATCCAAATCAACCTCCATGGTGTTATAATTTTAAAATAATTAAAACCCGGAGATGTTGACACGTGAATGGCACGTGACTGCTACCAACAGCACAGTCTATTTCACAACGTGTAGCACTGGCGCTTAACCCTAACCCTACCCCGTGATTCACAGGACATAACACTAAAGTGGCTGAGTATATGTGATACACAGCTACTTTCGTTTGATATATATACACAGCTGATGCTCGTGAACGTGGATACAGAAACGAGTTGTTTTGGTTCAATGTATAGGACTGGAACAGAGCTTCATATGAGCATCACAAGTGACACTCAAAGCGCGCGTGAACAATGATGGTTAAGTTACTTTCACTCAAAAAAAAATGGAAACCTAGTATAAACACCAGAATTTCTGTTATTAATTCTCTATATTTTGATTACCCATTACACTAATTTTCCAACAAATTAATAATGTTTATAGGAGAAAAAAGAAAGCATTATGAAACATCAACACTACAAGAAATTATCTAAAATAGGGTTAATAGAGTTTGGATTCTATTTTATGTTAACAGTTACTTAGTTGACTAAAAAATACCCAAGGAACATTTTTATCTGTTCTGTGCACAAAAATGTTCCACGTGTCCCGAAACTCGCTCGCTTTACACGTGTCCGGATATCTATCTTTATGATCAAACGTGTACAATTATAACTTATAAATCAAAACGAAGGCAGCAAAACTTAAGCTTTAATTAATCACCACTTTAACTGCGGCATATCCAGCATGTGTTACATGAGTTTAAGTGAAATACTTGGTCTTGACAGTCGTTGTTAAATACTGATACACACCGCACGGTTTTCAATAAATACCAATATTAAAACAATATATATATATACGTCAAGATCGTTGTTGTCACTTGTCCCCAGTGTTAGCCACTAAAAACTTGATACACAGACAAATACTCTGTACGTGTTATAAAAAGTGTCGGCGTTTATTTTTTAATTCAAAGGCCATTAAAGTTATTTTTAAAATGTTCGTAAAATACAACTTTTCAAGACAGATGTTTATGCCAAATTAGATATTCGGATCTTTTTTTTCTTAATGGGGGGTGTGGGTGTGGCAATGTATCATATAATAGAGACAAAGCTAAAATTTGATTACGAGGAGGTGTAGTCCTTGTGAATTCTGTTCTAATATGGCTGACTCTTCCTCTATAGTTCATCTTTGAAACCTTTATTGGAAACAACTATTTTTTTTCTTGCCTGATAAATAAATCATAAATGTCCTTGAAAGCTTGAGTTTAATAAAACATCAAAGAGTTAACCCTTAATTTAACTTTGTTGTGTTTTTCTAACAGTTAAAAAAATTCTCCCTCAAAACTTCCTCTATCTTATTTACTGGCACTATTATTATATGTTACTTATCTTTTAACTATATTAATTTGTTGGTTTTTAAAGAGTACATCAAAACCTAAAATTAAATATTTTCCACATCACTTTTACTCTAGCTGTATTTAAGGCTAATCGAAAACCACAATTTTTTCCCTTAATATATTTTAACTGATATAAATTTATCTAAGTTTAAATAACACACACACACTATGAAATGAACAACGTTTAGATACGGAAGTTTGAAATACACGTACACATTACGAAATTAACAACTTTAAACAATGTTTACATAATTATTTTGAATAATACATTATGAAGTAAATAATTTTAAACAATGTTTACAAATTACATTAGGGTGCTGGAATTATACATTTATTATCATGAAACAAACAAGAACATTACATCTACTGTCGTCTATATGTTACAAACATACCCAATGTTCAAGATACTGTTATGTTTGATACACAAACAAACATGCTGGTTCGGGCTACAACTAACTTACTGGATAAAATTATGAACACACAAAACGACTTCTTTTTTTAAACATGTGCTCTTGGAGGTCCAATTAAAGTTTATCAGTAGTAAGTCCAAAATATGAGATTCAGAACACATATATTTAATTATAGGCCTATAGACTTACCAACATAACACCGAAAAGATGCCTAACGTCCATTTCAATGGTGTCAACTTCTTCTGTTTTTTGTTGTTACCACAACAACAGCAGCAGCAGAGAAAAAAAATGAGGAAGGCCAGAAGTGTGAGGATTAACCAGAACCCTGGGACAGCCACAAGGATTCCTAAGGCCTGTAATATTAATTTATGCAACTTAGAAATGTTTTCATTTCAAAGATAATTCACGAATTAACCAAACAAAACAAAAACGCCTCTGATCTGGACTGAGATGTAGAAACACTTATCAGAATATAGCACAACCCTCATTACCTGATACTGAACTGTATATATGAAGTATGAGTTTATGCCTTCTTTGTAATAATAACAAAACGAATTTAGGAAAACATCAACTCAGTGTTCTTACAAAACATTAACTTCTGTGGAGATTTTTTTTTTTCAGTGACAAATTCAAAACCTCCTATGTTGCACCCTCAGAAAACTTACATTTTATGGTCCTAATGAAAGTGTCTTAAACAAATCCTGTAAGCATGCTTAAGTAAATAATTTTATAAATTTAATATTGGAAATGAGAACAATTTCAAACCTTCTCCCTGACTAACTAACCATTCAAGTTAAAGGAGTTTGCTAGTCTCGAAGCCAAAACATGCAATATATAATTGAACTAACTATAACAAAAACATTTAATTACTGTAACAAAAAGTTTTATTAGTGCTTTTCTATTGTGATTATTTTAAAGATTTTAGGAATACTTTTATCAAATCAATGTATCGATCTGACTCAGACTGAAACAATGGAGTACAAGAGAAGAAAAACACAGTAAATGGAACAAACTGTCAGAAATCTTTATATTGAGGAAATCTAATTTCGACAAATTCACGTGTGGTCGTCAGTCTCGAGTTATTCAGAAGATAATATGAGACTGAAGAATGTGATGAAACTAGCTTTTCTCCAATATCAAGAACTCTGACAGTTATTCCATTTACTGTGTTTTTTGTTTGGTTTCTATCTGCTACACACAATATTTTGTTATCTTATTACTGGTGATGCTTGTGTGGAGAATAAAAATACTTTTGTCCATCTTAAAGTTTTCACATTATACGTGTATAACCCCTAGGACATCTGAAATGCACATCTACAATATCCCTGTACACTTTATCTGATATTTACTCTCCTCTATGATGAACTGTTGCTGAATCAGCAATGTAAAATTATCATGGAATATGTACTTGGACCCCCTACCTGCACACACAGGGTTTAAACTGGTAATTTGTTTTTTTAATGGCACATATATCTTAGGTTTGCCTAGACTGTTTTTTATTCTATGTGATTACTTTGGAGGCTGGAATGGTAGTTTTAATTATCCCTCTCCCAACAGTGTTCCATTCTTAAAAGTTTGTTTATCTTTTCTTTCTTTCAAAAGTAATTTAACGTTTAATTTTCGAAAGCAGCCATCTTTACGTGTATTTTAAATATTAACTATAGGTACGTTTTTCCTGTTTTACGCAGTTTCCCGTGCAATCAAAAATGAAGCATAATTTCATAAACTTCTGAAATATTGTCGTAGTAACTCAGCTGTAGCAACCTGTTATCAAAATGCATCATTAGTAACCAGTTTTTAAAAAGTAAAAGTTTTAATCCGTTTCTAAACTGAATTATTACGAATCTTTTTTTTAATGCAACAGTATAGCAACCTGATTCAAAAATGTAACAGTGGTAACTTGCTTTCAAATAGGGGAAGTAACTTGTAGTGTGTTGTTTAGCAACAGTATAGCAAACTAATTCAAAAATACAACAATGGGAACTTGGTTTCAAATAAGGGAAGTAACTTGTAGTGTGTTGTTTAGCAACAGTATAGCAAACTAATTCAAAAATGCAACAATGGAAACTTGCTTTCAAATAAGGGAAGTAACCTATAATGTGACTCTCAGCAACAGTAACAACCTGTTTATAGAAATCTGTTTCTATAATACAACAGTGTAGGAAATTCTGTCTAGAAAAAACACCAACCTCTTAGAACATGACAGGTGAATTTCCGACACATTTTGTTTATAACGCCTATGATTAGGCCTAAAATTATGAACCGTGGCGGGATACAATATAAATAAATCATCATACAAATAAGAAAGGGTTAGCTGTTCAACTACGTACAAAACTAGCTTCAACGCATTTAGTTACAATAATTTCAGCTAAAACGTAATAATGGCAAGTTCATCCACGACAACACAAAACTAGTGTGTTGGGACATTTACCCACTGTAAGTTCCATATACATTATCAAACGACAAACATATCGTCTGAATTCATTACACTAAACACGGATCGGCATGGTAACCGCGCATCACCTTAACGCTTCAACACTTTTCTCGTTATGTTTGACTTTTCATCAACACATATATGTACTGGATTATCCAGAGCTCACGTGACACGTTCATCGATCACGTGGAATCGATTTTCTTCTTTTAGTAAAAAAGAAAAATTCGTCCTCTGTTACAAAAAATAATACTGTATAAAACTTTTTTTTTAATCTACTTCGTTAAATTAAAAAAAAAACGATAAACAATTGCACTACTCCACGCACGAAACGAGACTTTCTGAAACAAAGTTATTACTTGTTATTGTTGCACATTAGGAACGAAAAGTACTGTTGTATTTTGGAAGCGAGTTAATCATTTTACCTACTAGTTCATGACTGAAGTGTCGATTAGGACCTATTTTAGCATTTTTGGATCCAACATTTAGGACAACAATTATCACGTTAATTTAATCATTTAAGATATACTGATACTTGCTGAGGACATGTACATGTATATCATTTTATCTCTCTCATTGCCCCTCACAAATATATTAAACATTTATATAATTTCAGTTTCAGTCATGTTGGTAATGAATTGATATTAAACTCTGCATGATCCCTGACCTTTGACATATAATGTACGAAAATCACTAAAAATTGTTTTAAATACTTAACTCTGGCAAAACACTGAAAATCAATAGGTTTAACACTCGTAGTAAAAACCCAAACTGTAACTTTCAGGTTCTAATATAGCATTTCGGACAAATTTCCTTCTACTGTATCTTGAAGAGTTGTGATATTGGATGAAAGGCCCCTCGAGGAATGACCCGTGATATACAAATGATAGGTCTAAAATGCTATTTTCACATACCTACTTCTCGAAACTTGAAGTGAGCAAATTAAGGGAAAACACATCTGCCAACTTGATTTCCATCTCAAATATTATGCCAATCAATATGATTATGAATATTACATTCAAACAACAACCAAAACAATTAGTTTACTCAGAAGATTTCTGGACAGAAGATACAAGTGATAACTGAAGGGTTCAAAGATAAGAGGTACATTTCCAAAGCTGAGCTTGTTTTGTTGCTGTTGGTTAAGTTGTAAACTGACTATTTATTTATAGATAATAATTGAACTATTGACATCTCATTATATTATCATAATGTAGGAATCTATTATATCTCTAACTGGCTCATAGGGGAATAACTTGATCCTGGACATATTTGATTATTTAATCTAACAAGTATTAACAAAAACTGGCACAGGTATTTCAAATAACTGCAGCAAAATCACCTTTTTTTATTGCAAAATTAGTTAATATATACATATATACATTAAAACTTACAAACAAACAATAAAAAAACATCTCAAACGTAATTACGTGGCGCCATCTAACGGTATGAATGTTAATATAGTTCTGGCTACACAAGTTAAAGATATCACTTAACTTCCTTTGTAGAAAGTATGAATAACATTCATAGATAAGCCTAGATAACTTGACAAATCACAAAAATACAATTTAGTACACGTGCCGGATACTTCTCATATAAACTTTACGATGACGTTATCCTTCCTATCAATAAATTACTATTACTAACCAGGACGTTTATCACACAGCATTCCCGTTTTATGCCTCAGCTGATAACTAAATGTTAACATCCAGTACAACAATCTAGTCTTTTTTCTCTTCTAGCAACAGGAAATCACTTAAATTTCCGTTCTTTTCGATAAAGGGGTGCACAAAATATGTTTAGAAAAAAATAAATATTTTGGTTACATCGACCAAAACCGTTCACGCGTTAATTTCTATATTACATACAACGTTTTCATTACAGTAAAAAATTCTAACGTGCATTGTAACTTACACCCCTTATTCTCTTTAGTCTTATTTTGGATAACGTTTGAAAATGCAGCGGGTTTGCGTTACTAAACTGGCATGAAATAATTACAGATCGTTCCAAAATTCACCCATATTTATGCATACAAGTATCTGATCTCCTGATCGGAATTTAGGTCTTTGTGACCTAGGAGGGTCAGGTACTCTGAGACCTCTTCCTCCCTATACAAGTATCTTCTGTTTTGTTTGTTTGTTTTTGAATTTCACGCAAAGCTACACGAGGGCTATCTGCGCTAGCAGTCCCTAATTTAGCAGTGTAAGACTAGAGGGAGGGCAGCTAATCATCACCACCCACCGCCAACTCTTGGGCTACTCTTTTACCAACGAATAGTGGAATTGACCGTCACATTATAACGCCCCCACGGCTGATAGGGCGAGCATGTTTGGTGTGAGGGGGATTCGAACCCGCGACCCACAGATTGGGAGTCGAGCTCCCTAACCACCTGGCGGCCATGCCGGACCCTAGTATCTTCTGAGTCGATTGTATTGTTTGCTTCATGTGGGAGGTGAATCATTTTGAAACTAGTGTGGTTTCGCAGTTATTCATTTCTTTTGATGAGTAAGCTTTAAAAAAAAACGAGCCGCGTCAAATTTCGACGACAAGTAAATCTCTCGATTATTTTAACCTTCCTCCTCACCACAAAAATGACATCTTATGGTCTTGGGGGAAAAAAATGTGGAATTAAAAATTGAGTCCGGTTTAAATATAATTTATCTCAAATCTGGGAATTTTCGAATAATTTTAAATTTATTTACTAAAAATACGTCGAAATAGGAGAACTAGCACCCCCTCCCATCTCCAGTACAGGAGGAGAATACATACTTTGTCTCCATCTCCTCCTCCCTCTAAAAAATAAAAAAATAATGACTAACTCACTTCAAACCATCAAGAACCTAGACAGTATTGCTAGAAGAACGTAAAATCGAAAAGGCATAGGTTAGGATAAGAAAGAGAAGGTGATGTAAGCTGGTCAAT